CTGTATATAAAAAGAGTAGAAGTCTATGGAATGTCCCCATTTAGTATTAAGCAAACACACTAAGGCTGCGTTTACACTGCATGTCTTAATGCACAGATCCGATCTTTTGACCATATCCGATTTTTTTGGCACGTCTGTTTACATTCACTTTAGACACGACTGTATCCGATATCTGTGTTTACATTCATTCCCACCCAAAAGGATTGTCTGCAGTGATCGCTTTACTATGCACATGGTAGACCCTCGGGTTTTAAATGGCCGTTAAAATTATTTATATAATTCAAGTCGAATGGCCATTATTATTTGCCAGCATAGACAACGGCTGTCATGGTCATGGATGTTCTGCAGCACAAAATCTGACTGAATGGGTAAAGACCGGAAAATAACGGTAATTTTAATTTGTTAAACTATTTTATCTACAGCTCGTTAGAGGTAGAATTCTTTAGTGAAATAATGATGATATTTATTGAAATGAATTCGAATTAAGGAGAGAGAGCGAGCGAGAGAGAGAACGAACGCATGCACCCACGTGCGAGCGAGCGATTGTGAAGCATTGCAAACAAGCTTGTCAATTTAATTACAAAAACTGCCAAGTTCTCACCTCATTGCTGAGAAATATATGAAGCTTTTAGCTGTTGTATTTTCAAAATTCATGGGGCAGGGGTTGAAAACCAGCTCCTGAATGTGCAATTTCTTACCTATAAAAAGTTTCCATCTCAATAAAATGCGAGCGCATACAGCACGCCGGCATTAAAACGCCATTAAAAACCTTTATGAGCAAAGGTGTCGCCCTCGCATTGGGAGTTCTGTGAAGAATCGGATATGTGTGTTTAGACGTAGGTCGGATGTTCAGATCAGATATCGTCTCGGTTACGTATGGTAACCCTCGTTCCCTGAAGGAGGGAACGAAGACGTCACGTCGGATGACCGACGAAATTGGGATCTCGCTTAGAGAGACCAATCTACTTTGAGTGTAAACTAAACGAGCCAATGAACATTGGCATGCGATTATGATCAGCCGCTCAGCGGTGGTACAGAAGCTGTGGCGACAGGACGTGACATCTCCGTTCCCTCCTTCAGGGAACGAGGGTTACCCAGGGCTTGCACAAGAGGACCAGCTACTGCTGCTATGGCAATACCCACTGAGTAAGACTGGATAACACTGGGAAAACGTACCCGCTCTACTTGGAACAGGGACGTTACGGAAGCTCCAACCTTCCCGAAAGAGGTTTCGGAAGCAATACACATATGAACATTCCTTAGGTGCATATGGGAGAATGGAGGTGATTGTAACCCTCTTGGAATGGCAGAAGTCTGCCGGGGAAACACGGGCTCGAGGCTATACCGTGGACTTCACACATATGGGATCCACTTAGGCCTTACATATGGAACCCAGCCTTCTATAGGTTCTCGAGGATTCAACGAGTGAAGGCCTGGTGCTGGACGCTCTGCCACGTCTGGCTGCCGAGGGGACGGAGGAGCTCAACAGGGTCTACTATATGGACTCTCTAGAGTGGTTTTTCAAGCCGACCCGAAGCCGGGGCCCCTCAGTGCTTCTACCCGTTTGAGATGACAACACAGGAGGATACCGGCTCCACACGAAGGCTATAAAATCTGGCGAACGTGTTAGGGGTCGCCCAGCCTGCAGCTCTACAGATATCTGACAGCGAGGCGCCACGAGCCAGCGCCCAGG